AAAGGATATTGTTAAGTACATCACTAAAAAAATATGCTAGATTTTTACTTTATTCTATTGTACTCTTATTTTTTATTTCTCTCGTCTTCCTTGTGTGTTTTACAACAATAAAAAATGAAATTCTGTTTTTTTTTTTACTTTTATGTTTAAAAACGCAGCATTTTTCTACTTTCATAAAATATTATTGTGGTTGAGTGTATACTATGATGAAAAATAACTGTAAATATGGTTGGTAGTAAAAAAAAAGATACAAAGGTTTTCGGAATGAATGAAGAAAACCACAATAAAAAAAAATCCGGAAGGATAAACAGCGAAAAACATAATTCTTTCTTTTTGTTACTGTTATCCTTTTATTCTGATGCATGTTTTTAGTGAGGCAAAATATTCATGTCCGTATGTTATTCGGATTTTTTAGTATTTTATTTTTTTCTGACTATTAAAATACAAAATTACGTAAAGTTAAATTTTGCGAGCTAAAAATGAAGTTGTTGAGTTCGGGGTGGCTGTTTTTTCATTTTTGTAGTTTGGCAAATAAATTCTTGAAAATATTTCATATTTGTATTCGAGTTAATTTTTAATAATTTGAAATTTGTTCCAAATTTTCAACAATATTTTGAATAAAAGATTTTGTACAGCATAATTAAAAATTAATTAAGGAAGGACATATCAATCATTTTCGGTTCATTAACTTGATATTATGATAAAAAATTTTGAAAATAATTGAAAAATAAAATATGAAATTTGGACATTGCTATTTCGAGTTCATTTTGTTCAGTTTCATTAGAGTTAATCACAATATACCCCATTCCAAAATATAGAGGATAAAAAAATTATGTTAATTTTGCAAAATAAAATTTGTGATGAAATTTGGTTTTGAAATTGTTTTATAAGATGGGTAATCATTGAAGAAGTAGAGTATGCTGGCCACAAAGAAATTCAAGATCGAATATATTGTTTAGTTTATAATCGAATAATAAAAAATAAATTGAGAAACACAAAGAGACTCCTGAGCATAACCGTTTTTAATAATTTTAATACTTTGACACTATAAAAAATTTTCGTTTACAATTGCCACAATAATTGAAGGGTTAAAAATATCTTTAATAACTTTAAATTTGCGATTTCAATTTGATTTCTTAAAAAAAACGTCGACGATTGTGATTAGAAATTAGTTGTATTAGAGAAAATTGATTGAATTTAGTTGTAGAGAAAAATTAATGTAAACGCAAAGTTTATGCAACTAAACGTTGATTTAACCAAGAATTAGATTTCTAGTCGAATAAACTGTCAAATTTCTTCAAAAAACCAATAAAATTTATTCTGCTTCATTTCGAAATTCTGAAATTAAGGTAGTACGAATTATTTAATTTTTAACAATATTGTCAACTTATTTTTTACAGTGTCAGTGTTATAATTACTATATTGTTTAAATTTTGGGTACTGTTACCACGGAGTTTACTACATTTTTATTTAATAAAAAATTTTACATTTCAATTTCTTGTTCACTGATTAAAAAAATCAAGAGCATGTGATTAAATAAATAAATTTAATTTTAAATTTGAGGAGCATATTATATTAAAATCCTTGAAAATTTCAGTTTTTAATAGACAGACAAATTTACGCAAGTAAGCAGTCTGAAATCACAAGAGCCCACCTGAAATCTTGCTACGATTGAAATTCTTTGTTCATTATTATTGTTTAATGTATATATATATATATATATATATATATATGAATAGATTATTTTCTTTACAGGGTGTTTGAGACTCGACGATATTCCCGAAACAGGATGACAAAATGAATATTTGGACTCATAAAGCAAAAAACACCAACGACATTTGCGTTTTTGCACCCCCGTTCTCGAGTTGTGAGACTTCAAAATTGTTAGAAAAATTTTTAATATCACAAGTTTGTAAGATTACCCCGCTAAGGGTATTATTAAAAAAATTTATAATGAAACCAAATCGAATTATTAGTAATATTGCCTGAGTTTTGAGTAAAATATAGACATTGGACTAAAAGACTTTAAGACCTGATAACTCGGTCCTTTCCTGCAAGAATACCGTCAAATTTCGGACATCTTGTATTTATGCATTTAAAAATCAATATCATTGCCTAACTGGAAATATTTCAAACTTATTCAGTTTTTTGCTATGAATACATATTTATATTTATAACAGTGATTTCAAAGCTTTATAATTTTATTGAAGTACGTATAACATATATGAAAGCAGAAATTATTCCCTCAATAATATTTATTCTTAAGATTACTCAATAAGTACAGATATTGTAGTTTTGCCTACTGCAACCACAATATTATCATTTATTACTAAAAGAGAATAACAATAGAGTAAAACCACTTATCCATATTATAATAATGCCATACAATAGTTTGTTTTTAAAACTCTAAATCTATAGTTTTTGAGCAAACACAATAAACTTACTTCGTTTTGATTCAAAATAACGTATGTAATGAATATGGTAGTTACGAGACAATCTGAATATGTAAAAAAAACGATTGAGGAAAAAAATTACCAATTCTTTATATAAAACAAATAGGTTTTTTAAAATATAATAAGTATGTGTGTTTCAACATTATAAGGAAGACAATAGAATTTGTTAAGAAATACAACAAATAATATAAGGTTTCATGTAGATCAGGGACACTACATTTGCTTACTAAAACATGGAATATAGAAGTTTGAAATGCTGAGTTTGAATTGTTTTTGTTTTGGTGATTCGTACTTAAGCTGGAATTCGATATGTTTCGCTTCAACATATACTTTAAAAATTTGTTATGTCATGATATCACTAGCAATTGCAATAGGGAGTCAATGTAATACTAAAATCAGTATTACAAAACAGGGTGATCACCAATTGTTTCAAATTACTTATGAATAAGGAAAACCATTTTAAGTCGAACTTGCTAACTTCGAGTTAACAAAGTTAATAGATCAATAGTTACTTTCAAAAATATTTGAATAACTATTTAATTTCTTTCCAGTTTGTAGAATTTTAATAGAATTTTCCTAATTAAATAAAATTCAAGTTTATAACTTGAATACGAAAACTTCACATGTGCTAATATATATGTAGGTCTCTCGATTTTGTGCTACTTAGTTTGTTTTTACAAAATTATTTCAACCAAACGTTCCTGCATATTAAAAATATTTTTTTAAATTAATTGTCTCATAAGTTGTCAAAAAGAATTTCTTATTTTCCTACAATAATTTTCTCTTTATTTCATTCTTCAACATTTTATTGTAGATGGTAACAAATTCGAAATATTTTCACTCTCTCTAATAAAAATATTATTCAAAATTTTATTTAAATGTACATGTCGTCCCCAATAATCATATATACCATTTAAATTGAATTAATTAACAAAATATTTCACTAAATTTAAATTTTAAAACATTTAAGTGTTTTAAATAAAAATTCCATAATTAAATTTTCATAAGAAAAATTTCAATTTTCATAAAAGAAGTACTACAGCAGTTGCAAAACATACATACAGCCAAACAGGGTTAATATCAATCCCGTTTAATTACACAACTTGGTTAAATTCAGAAATTAAATTTTTAAGAAGAAAAATTTCAATATACTTTTGCAAATATTCGAACTCGCTTAGTAGAAAACTCGATTAATAGAAACTCTCTTAAAATCACGTAATTCTTGGTATTAAAATATGTAATTGTTGGAAAATTTTTTACAAAATTATTGAATGTGATCTCGTTGAAATAGTCGCCAATCAAGATTTATTGTTGTCTTTGTTCTCATATAAAAATATTTTATAAGCTCTCTTAAATTCACATAACGTGAATTAATTCGAGTAACGCATTCTATTTCTATGTGACATTAAGCGTGTTCGGCTGTATATAGATATACTAACTAAGTGTTTCTATAGAAATACGCACAATCAATGTGAAAAAATACTAAAAACCTTGATTTTTAAAATACCTTCTGCATTAAACACAGTTCATAAATAAATGCGAATAGCAATTTAAATAAAATTCTTAAATTGCATACTTTTAGGATAACTTATAATATTAATACTCTTTGAATGTCACTCTGAATTATGTGGCATGAATCGTCTTTGATTTGCAAATAAAATCAAAATAATAAAAAAGTCCACAATTTCTTTTTTAGTATTTTTAGTATTGCATTCAAAGGATTCTTGTACTACCCACATTTTCTATAAGAATTTTTATATACATAAGTATTTTTTATGCATGCATATAAAAAATTCTCTTCATTGCTTTTTTCTCTCTTTATTTTTTTATTTTTAATTCATATTTGTTATATTTCATATTCGCTTGATAGTACAATACAAGTATGTGTACATTTTTTTTTAAAAACATATACTTAAAATCCTTGAGGCTTAGATAACGAACACTTCAGTATTTTTCCTTTTTAAAAAAAATAGCATGTAGGTATAAACTTATAAACGTATAATAATATAATATATATTGTATAACAGTACAAAGAATATAACAATTTTTAAATTTATAAAGAGAAGAGAAAAAAAAATATGTAATAAAACTTAAACTAAACAATGGGATGTAAGAAAAGAAAAAGGAAAATAGAAAAAATTTTTAAACAAATTTCTAACAATTCCCTCTTACTGTTATGAGCCTGCAGAATTTCTAATTCTACCCCCTCTCAATCCACTATAATCCATTCCCAATCTTACACTTTTTTAATAATTTTTTTCTTCTCCACCTTCTTACCTTCTTCAATTTAAATATATGAATATATTATAAAAAAAAAACAATGAAAAATAAAAAAACTGGAGGATCTGTAAGAATTTCGTATTATATAGGAAATAAATATGAAAAAAAAGGAATAAACAAAAAGAAACTCATAATAAAAAAAAAGGACAAATAAAGATAAACTGTACAATGTTCATAACAAAAAAAAAAATAATACTTGTCTGTATATATGTGTTTGTATGTATATAAAAAACAAAATTATTATATAGGAAAGAAAATAACACTTACTCATCTGGTTTCGGATGATGTCGAACAATATGTATAATCCTTCCGGGTGGATATAAAGGCTGATGAAAGGTTAACGCTATTGAACTATCAGTCGGATGAACACTTGTCGTTCGAGCTGTATCACGTTGCTATATAAATGATTGGAATAACAATTGTAGCAGTAGTAGTAGTAGTAGTAGTAGCACAACAATAATAAAAAATATTATCATAACAAACAAAATAATTGTATAAACGATGATGACAATAGTTATAATAACAATAATGATGATGATAGTGTTGTTGTTGTTGATGTTGATGAAGAGTTTTATTTTGATGACAATATTGTTGACAATATGTTGTTGTATGTTTTGTTATTCACAATATTGCATTGAATGACATTTTAAAACGAATTTTTTTTTTTTTTTTTTAATAAATAAACGAAATTGTCCAAAGCAAATTATTTTGAATTAGAGAAAGGAAACATGAAAAGAATGAAAATAAAAATAAAAATTATTTTATTTAATAAAGAAGAGAAAATATTATACAAAGTCAAGGAGAAATATTATTAAAAAAATATATGCGAAGATTTTTTATATTAAATTTTTGCTTCCATTTCATAGAAATATTTTATAAAGAAACGAATAAATAGAATTTATTAGATTTTTTATGCAAATGTATCTAATACACATACATGTATGTGTACACGTACTTCGGATTCATATTTTGAATTTTAAATATTTCTGAACGCATAACAGTGACAAATTTCATTAGAATTTATTAATAATTGAATTTATATTCGCACTATCGCTATGAAGATGTATCAACTCAAAAATGCGATTTCCCAAATTCTCCTATTAAAGGAGGCTAAGACTCACTCATTTTATAAAGTAAACTAATATGAATCTTTTTTCCTGAAATTTTCACGAAATCGATTAGTGTTTTTGCGGTGGTCAATACTTTCTTAGAAGAGTGTACTAAACAAAAAGCAGTTTTCCGGTAATTTATACAATCCTTCGCTAGCATTCACATTTTGCTAAAATTTTATAATCCTATGAGAAATACAAGACAAATTGTAAGATAAGAAAATAACAATCTCTTAAATTTCTTATGCATCTCAGCGGAAAAATTTCTTAAACAATAATTAATAAAATACCAACTTTAAAACTCTGTTTAGAGTTATTTATGATACAGAATTCATTGTTCCTGGCAATGCTTTTTGAAGCAAAACTTATTTTTTGTTGGCAATGTTTTAATTTCATCTGTGGATGTAAACAAAACTTTGTTAATGCAATCGACTGAATGTGTTGTAGTGTAAATCGTTAGTAATTTCAAGTATTACAGCGAGCAAAGGTCTTGTGACGAGGGAAGACGGAAGAATTTTTAAGAATGTACACTTTAAACTGTTCGATAATTCCTAAAAAATTAATTTTTCATAAAGTGCTGTTTTTAAAATTTGAAAAAAAAAAACAAGCATAAATTGATGAAGTTTTGATTTGTTGTTGGGTTTGTGAATATAAATCTATATTTTTCTAATAGATGCTTCTACTGATGGTATATATTGTGTATTATGAAGGGCGAGTAATTCAACAATACTACACGTTATGAATCTATATAAGGCTGTGAAAACTTTTTTAAGTAACAAGAAGCAGAAAAATTTAAAATGTATTCCCCGTTTATTTGCCAACAATTTGTAATGCACCGCTATTCAAAAAATGCTAATCATTTGATACATCAGAATATAGTTAGATATTGAACGCTTTGACCTATTGGAATCCTAAATGAATCTAAGCTCTCTCTCTCTTTCTCTTCCCGTTATGTAAGAAAGTGCTTAAGTAACTTTCTCTTAAGAACTAAAAATTCATTATAATTGATTACAAGTGCTTGACCTAGAGGGTTTCTAATTTCTATATTTTATTTTTTAAAATGAATTCTCCTTTAAGTTGAAACTTTAAAAATTTATAAAAAAATCTTGAATTAATTTTAAAAGAAATAGAAAATTTTATGTATGTATTTCTGTTGAGTTGAACTTAAATTTTAAAATTGGTTTGGTTAGAGAATACAAAAAACAAAAATAATGTTCAATTTAACGAACTTAAGTATTAGTATGTTCCTTTTAATATAACACGTAAATTCTTTACAATTGTAGAGAAATTAAAACGTGACTTTTTAAAAGTTATACGTTCTAATTTAATATATATGTATGTACATATATGCAAACGTTTAAGTATTTATGTAATTCTTGTATGTACGTGTATGCGCAGCAAATGCTGAGAATTTAAAAAGTGGGGATGCCATTTAAATTCAACTGTACTATTCAAAACAAGAACCCACAAATAACGAAGTAGATTTTGCATTATTGAAATTGGAAAGAAATTGCTTAATACATTTTCTTCACAGTTTCAGGTTGTTCGAGCGTTATAAGAGAGTTGTACATTCTTTTGAAACTGAGGTACATTAAAAGAACCGCGTATTTATTTTAAGATTATATACGAATACCAAAAGAGGAAATTTAGAGTTAAAATTTGTAGTTTTTATTAATAAAAGAAGGTAAGTTTCAGAAAGAAATTGTTGTTTTTCGGCGATTTGAAAAAAATTTGCGTACGGAAAAGTTCTGCTGTTGTACTAGAATAATATAGTTCCGTATTTAATTCATTTTTGGAATGTTAGTGTAATTGTTTCACAATAACCAATTGTGTTTTATCTTTTGTAAATGCTAAATTTATAAAGTTTTTTTTGAAAAAGTCCAAAAAAATTAAGGGCAAGGCTGAGATCAAACATCGTGATTAGTCACTTTAACAGATTCGAGAATTTATAAAACTACAACAATTTTAGCTAAGACATTTGTAATTCAGCATTTAATTGCCAAAACTTGCGAACTGATGTTTTCTTCATAATTCAAATGATTATTAACAATTACTGGTTAGTCAAATAAATCACCTTTCAATATCATATGGCAACCCCAATTTAAGGAATAGAAAAAAAAAACTAATTTTTCTGGCTTGTTGTACATTAAAAAAAGCAACAAGAAAAATTGAAAAAAAAAAAATGTTGTGTCCAACAAATTAGTGATATGTCACTTGATATTGCCAGTAGGTTATTACTTGTTACATTAATGTATATTCATGTATATTAATGTATATTCATATAGATTGTAGCTTACCTCTTTATATTGGTTAATTCTTGTATCCTTGCTAGCCATTTCAACAACTGATGTTGGTTCAGGTCCACAACCACAGCAAATTGCTGAACATGTTATTGTCTTCCACTTTTAAAGTAAATTATAGAACACAAAAAAAAAAGAAAAATAAAATTAATATGTATGTATATAAGGATATGTATGTACTACAAATATGGAATTGTAAAAGCATTAAAATTTTATAAGGGCAGTAAACTTGATTGAAACTTTTTGTCTAGCTACAATAAAAGTATAAAATAGTTAAGGTTTGATTGTATTCATGTATATATGTATGTGTTTATAATTGTAATTGAGAATTAAGGTTCATTAAAAAACCACAAAGACTTTTAAAATAATTGTTCCAGTACTAGTGCTTTGTATATTTAAAAATTTGCGTATATCAGCACCCATAAATTGATAATTTAAACTATTATATGTGACAACTTTCTAGTATGAGAATTTGAATTAAATAAATGCTCCATAACACTCATATATTTTTCGAGGGGATTCTTAATAATTAATATTTTTTATTTCCTTATTATAAACTTCTACAGGTTGTCATATTCATGCCCTTTTAGCACTGTCTATAATTTCATAAATCGATTCTTCCGGACATAATGAAATCCGATCAGTGGTAATATTCTTCTAATCAAAGAAAAACATTCGCTCCCAGCATATGTGGTTGTTTTCTGCTTTTCCAGACTGCTTTTCCATCTACCAAAATCAAAACTTTTTTGCAATTGCGGTAAACAATACTGAAATCAATTTTACCAAAATTCAAAAAGTAAAATTGACGTAAAATTTTATTTTTGGTAGACGCTTTTAGTCGATAGTCAAAAAAATATTTTGTAGAAAAAATTCATTCATACCTTTGGGTCCACACTTCGTTTAATTGCATTAATTAAATCGGCTCTAAGGGCTTCCATTTGATGAAGACCAATTCTAGGCACTACGTCTTTTCCTACAACTACTGAAGTAATAAAAGATTTTGAGGCTTCTACGGCAGGCATACTACGAAAAAAACAAAAGAAATATTAAAAATTTTTTTTCATATTCAAATGAATTTTTATTACCTTAGAAGTCCACCTGGTGGTGAATAACTATAACATAATAATGACGGATATTGGGTTTTCATTAATATTGCTAATATTGCCGCTGTACCAGCACCTAATGAATGTCCAACTAATGTTAAACCAAATTCTTCTGTACCTTTATCTGGATTATGTTGTAAAGCTTTATCAATAAGATTTTCTTCTTCTAATTTATTTTTAATATATATTGCTGCTTGTACCATTCCTTTATGACCTAACCAATCTTCACGTGCCGGTTCTAATGGTAATACCTCACCTTCAGCATTTAAATCTGTAATAACATCTTGCATACTTAATGTACCACGTATACTAATAACAATTTTCTTTTGACTGTAATCAATTGCAACAAAAAATGGTGTTTCACCAATATCAACATGATATGTGGCATAAATAACTTCAACATCACTAATACTTAAAGTTTTTTTAAGGGCGGCATAATTACATAAACAACAATTATCTTTAATTATATCAGCTGAATCTTTACTACTACAACAACATGGTAGACATCTAAAATATAAAACAAAAAAAAAATTGTTTAGTTGCGTGTGTCAATAAAATTCATAATTATTTATGTATTTCTTATTTTACCGTAATTCTGGACAAAGTTGACATACACCTCGGCATCTATTCATCATTAGATACATTGGCCAGCCGTATGCTCCTTGAGCAAAGTACATATAATGTATAACAGTTTGAAAAAAATCATAATCTTTGGCGTCATTTAAAGCTAGGAACTGTGTACGTTCTGTTATTGGAACACCACTTAAAAATTCGTATGTTCCGTTTTTACGCTATAATAGAAAAAAAATAAAACCAAATTAATTAAATAAAAAAAATTTTTAGAAATTTTCCTGAAAACGAAATTAGAAAAACAGAAAATATCAAGGCCGCAAATCGACTGTTCTGACTGAAAGGCTTTTCAAAATAAAATTTTAATTTAAATAATATTTTTAAAAAGTGTATGTGGTGAAAATGAAACTGACTGGCTTAAATTTTATTTGTAACACAAATATAAAGCTCGTGGGAAAATTTCAAGTAAGCTCGGTTTAAAAATTTAAGTCTAGAGCTTGCATTTGAATATCTTTAGCACTAAGTAATTAAAACGATCTATTGCCCTTTCTTATTGTCAGATTATTTTGCATAAATTTAAGTGAAGAAGCGGAAATTGGGAGATCCGGCGCTACCACAATGGGCCTAGTTGGCCTATTTGTACCCTTGGGGAGCCGCGACAACCTAACCTAATCTTACCTAGGTCGGGTTTTAGTAAAACAATTTTCGAAAAATTGTTTTAGTAAAATAATTTTCGAAAAATTTATACTTCGAAAAGTTCGAATTTTATTGCAAGTTTCTTTGAATATCAGAACGATTACTGTTATATTTTTCTCTTATTGAAGTTTGAAATAATATAGAAGATCGGAAATTGACATTTTTCAAATTTTAATGGATAATAGTTTTTCAAAAGTAGTAATAGCCCGGAGGAGGATGATTATATTGAAGAAAATTTGATCACGTGAAACATGAAATATTGCGTTAATCAGAAAATGATCGAAAACCCGGAAATTTTATTTGAGGGGTCAGTTAGAAGCCTTAAGATTTATTTATAGTTTTCGTGATAAAAAAATTAATGTTTGACCATCTTGTGTTTTCAGAACATTTCTAAATTTCTCCAAGCATGTGCCCAAAAGCAAGTTTTTTCTTCAAAAATGGTTAATTTTAAACTGACTCTGTTGCTATACGTATAAGTATACCTAATTTTGAATTGAAGGTGAGGTGTAAAATAAAATACATATTCTGTCAACTTCTTAGTAAGTAATGGAATAATTGTGTTTATTGCTAAATAAACACTTAAATTTTGTAACCCTATTCTAGATCCCTAAAAAACAATTTTCATATGCATTAAAAACATAAACAAAGACGATTAAATATAAGAGCATATATGAATAATGGCTTTGAATAATCTGAGAATTTTTTAAATTTGATCTAATAAAAACCTAAATCTAAGATCCTGAAAACGATTCCATTAATACAATCTAATAGACTATTAAATTGTAAATTATAAAATGCACTTAAAATGATTAAAGATTAAAGTTTTTATATATAAAAAATAAATTACTTTTCTCTATATGAAGGGAAAAAACCTGAAAGCTGAAAAAATTTCTATCTTAAATCACCCACGGCAGATCATAAATTTATTTATTGCAGCATATTACCGCACTATGCTATTAAAAATTGTAATTTCTTTCTTCAATATGACTTTCATCTTTATGCTTTTCCATATACCGCGTAACCTAAAGAATATATTGAATTTAGAACATCATGCACATAAAGTGAAGTGAAATTTATAACGAGATATTCATTTTTAATCAATTTTAATTTTATAGCACTTTAAGAGAAAAGTAGAATTAAATTAAGTTTATTGCAAAAATATTAAAATATCTTCTTCTTATTTATATTCTCCTTGATACGCCAGATGTATATTTTATGGTAAGAAGAACAAAAGCAAAAACCCATAATTTTTAATTTAAAAAAAAAAAAATTTAAATTTAATATTTTACTTACCTGTCTAACTATAGCTTCACGCTCTAATTTTTGAAATTTACGTAATAAAACTAAACCAGCAACAACATCAGATGGTACAACATCTAATTCACGAAAGAAATCGCTTAATAAACGAGCGATATCAGTAAATGAATTACGTGTCCTATCAGATGCTCCCATACAACAAAATAATAAACGACATCGATGATCCCAACTGTCTTGATATGCACGAATTACTTTCCTATAAAAATAAAATAACGAAGTTTTTTTTTCTTTGTTATGGTTTTTTCTTATATTCAAAATATCGGAAACAGTTTAAGTTATTTGACAAACTTTAAGGTATGCATGCAATTTACCTTAAAAGAAAACATTATTAATTTTGCGAATGTTACAAAAAAATAATTAAATTAGTTTCTGTGATTTTTAATTTTTTGTTTTTGTCCTCTAGCATTCACAGCTTAATTTGGGTTATGGTACAATTTAATTGTAGCCAATGTTGAACTAATTTGGAAAATTGAATCGAACGTAATATAAATGAAATATTGCGAAAGGTAATATAAATTTACCATAATATTTTTCAGACAGACATTGTGTTCTAATTGATAAATTCGGTCTTTATTATTCAGTAGCGGAATTAAATTCTTCACCTGCTTTCTCTGGACATATTAAGATGGTATAAGTTTAACATAATATTCAAAGTTTTTCAGAGGTATAATTTCTATTAGTTCCATTTACATGTGGGATTTAAATAAATTGTAGCATACAATTTTCGTATTGAATTGATTACTTAAACTAATCAGTCAAAGAAGTTTTAATAAGACTTTACGATTTCTTTACATTGCCGTACAATAGATATTTCCAAACTCTAGTGTTTTTGATTTTTGGTGATAGTTTAATTTTCAATATTCATATAAGTTCCTATATTATAGACGATATTTTTACTCAAATCAACTCATTTCGATTTTCTATTTTGTCATGGAAAGACTGGCCCCCGAACAATTTTAATTTAAAAACAAAAATTAGAACAAGATAGTATCGCATGGGTTGAAAATAAGTTATTCTGGGTTGAAAATAAGTAATTAACTATGTATTTTCCCTATTGTAAATTTTCTCCACTTCCACATTTGTACCAAAAGTTAAGGTTGACGAAAATTTGGGTATTGAATCCCGAACTTTAATCTCTGATTACATTTGAAATTTGTCTTTAGCTATAAAGGAAAATACTAGCTTTTTTGAATAGAACTCTGAACATAATTTAAAATTCTCATGTACATACTCGTATTTCAAAATTCAAAAACTTCATAATCGGAAATCTCTCTATTACTATGATGTTCATATAAAAATTAAATTGGTTACATTGGTTAGCTGAAGGAAAATCGTTGCTCTTCAACTTCTTACACGGAAATAAACTATTCAACAATTTCGTTTAATGCACTTAATTGGTTAAAATTTACTAGTGATAACAGCAATTGTTAGGAAAAAGGATAAAATCTTTTTAAACCTTCAAAAATTCTTTTTCCAAAATTCTTATACACTTGTATGTACAGTACTCGCGGCATGGATGAGAATTTGCAAAGTCATCACACAAAAATTATATTATTTTTATTCTGATTCTCTGGACAAGTGTTGTGATATGATTTTGTATTGCAATTCAATGTTGTATAAGAGCGAATGTACTGACTGAACCGTAAAATATCATTTTACTGATATGTTAATTTAATTTTCACCATACTTATAAAATTTCCTGGTAAATTTAATTTAACATGGTCTGCATCTAATTCAATTTCCTTAGTTTGTTAATAATAATTTGGATTGGTTAATAATTTTAATGGTAAGAAAATTATAAATTAGTAATGAAACTTACCTTTGTCTCCAATTTCTGTTCATACTATTACTTCTTTTATAATTAAAACGTGATTCAGATTCTCTCATCGATCTTTGATATTTTTTCATTTTAACCCATGAACGTCCAGCCGCATCGAATGTACACCATATTGTAACAACTATTGTAAATATTAAAATCCAATTTGTTATAAGTAATCCTGTTGTGTTTTGGAGAAAATATAAAAATAGATAAAAGAAAAATAAAAGGTAATTAGAATAAAATTTTTTTAATTTTAAAATAAAATTTAATAAAATTCTATTTGAACAAAAAATTGTCAGTATATTATGAAAATTGAGTAAATTTGGAAAGTGAATTATACGAGGACAGTTTGATGAGAACTCGTGACTTAAGAAAAACAATTTTTTATAATTTTCCGGTTTCTTTTAAAAATAAAATAATTGCAAACCATTGCGAAAAACTATGAAACATCACTTATGTTGCACATCGTTGTATAAATCAGAGTCTAAAAATTTGGCAAATTCGATTATTTGGGCTCGGTTTGCTCTCGGAATGAAATTGTTGAATCGTTTTGAATGAAATTTTTGTCAAAAAAAGTTTCATAATATTTTCGTTTTTTATTATAAATTTGATTAATATTTTCACTAAATAGCACCATTAGGTTAAAACTGTTGAATTGTTGCCTTATGTTATCATTGCCTTCAAACTTTATCTAAATAGCCAAATCGTTTTATAAATGCTTCAAAACACAAATTTGTTTGTAAAACTTTTCTTAAATGAATTTGCCAATGAGAGAAAAAAGAATTCTTATAGTTTAACAAATTTTCTCTTTTTAATAGTCTCTTAAAGATCACAGTAAATGTAAAAATTAGAAGCAAAAATAAATTCGAATTTCGAATAATTTGCGTTCGGCACAAAGTATTGTTCAATTCGCGTTTGCACTTTTAACAAGATCTGCAGTGCCAGCACGATTTTGTAGTTTGCTGCATAAAGTATTCCGTTTTTGATAATAGAACTGGAAAAGACCTTCTGTCAAATCGACAGCATAAAATTTTCTTCTGCTTTTATTTTCATAACCTTAACACATTGTTTTTTATAAGAACTAACGCGTGTGTCCGGCGATTTTTGGGAAAAATTGAAAATTCTCAACACTTTTTTTACATAATATATTTATTAGAAACTTTTTTATTGCATAATATATTTATAAGGAACTTTGCACACATTATATTAAATTACATGTTTTAATATTTTTTAAGAGTATGATAGGCTTTGTTATCGAAAGACGTCATATGACGTTCCCGGTCAACAATGTGTTAACTAACAAAGAATTCAATATCGAGAGAGTAGAGAGACAGTATTGAAATAACACCAGAATTTTTATTGGCTGCGCTGTTTCAGTAGTTCTATTGCAGTGCAATTTTAACTTATAAGATCTCTCGCAGTCAGATTTGCAAACGCGAACTCATCCTTTTTCAATGTCTCAAATACTATTTTTACAGATAGGATCAATTTGAAAGTCCAAAATCTAAATGAATTTCTTGAAAGTTTTTTTTTTAATTATAAATTAAATTGATTTTTTTTTAATTTTTATGGTTTTCCCGTCATTTTAAGACTGATTCATAATTAATGCCATGAGCCTTTTTGAGAGCAAAAGTAAATGAAAATTTACAAAAAAAAAAAAAGAACAAATTTAAATTTTAAAATACATTAAGACTTCTTCGTGGAATGAGTGAATAAATTGAACAATTCCCAATTGATTTCTCAACAAGAAACGGAAATTAAAATTTAACGGAGACACAAAAGCTGCTTTTAATTTTTTTTCTTTTAACTCTCCCAATGCTCTCATGTTATTATTGTGTTTTGCTCCTGTATTAATACATTTACTGCTAATACACAATTTAAATTGAAAATTTCAAAAGAAAATATTTTAATAATTCTGTATCTAATAATAACAAGTAGAGAAAAAGTTCAAAACTTTTAAAAGTTAAAAGTGTTATCGAAAAATTCTCGAAGCATGCTGTAATATATCTCGCAATAAATTCAGTATGCAAATTTTTTGAAAATTTTACGATAAAATTCCTTCTATGAATCTCAGTGTTTCTTAAAACTCCACATTGAGAACAATGATTTGACTTCCAACAAATTCCAGGCAAAAGCTATAAAAAGCAAACCATAACCATCTCAATAACGCAAATATAAATTTAATATTCTCGTTCACGTTTGAGATAAATGATGAACTTTGATTTTTTATAAATCCCTTTGCCTGGGTAATAGATTGGACGCATAATATCAAAATTTTCGGCTCAATCCCTTAAGTAATTTTCGAATTAAGTAATTGCGAGTGGATTTAAGTGGTTTACAGGGAGGGTAACTGTATAAATTAATGGGCTTATTAATTGCTCCAAAAAAATTTCGATTTAGTTATTTATGATTCGGTAAGTTGTCACTTGTAAGCCGATTTTTTCACCCTTGTACATTATATCCTATACGACATACGTGGTCACAAACATTTTACCTTGTATAATTTTAAAAAAAAATTCACAAAAAGGTTTAAAGCTTAAAAGAACATTCCAATTATAACAAATTGGTAATATCGAGAAAACGATGAAACTTTCCGATAGAAATCACCTCTATAACCCAATATTGTTCAATTATTTACAAATAAAATTTGACATCTTTAACTACACTTTATAAATTTACTACATCTATATACACTAACTCGAAATTTGTTATAATTTTTGGGGATCTAATTTAAGAATTATGACGATATAGTAAAAATTTAGAACAAAACATACTCATACAATTTGTATGTACCTATGTAGTTGTAATCTCAATCAATTAGTCGTCTATAATATTAAAAATAATTTACTTGAAAAGAAAAAGGATCTTGAATATATAGAAGGGCCACTAAATTGATTATAAATTTCCGGATTTTGTTTTATATCCTTTGAGATGCCTTTAAGAAAGATCCAAAAATTTTATATTTTCCTTTTTCATATAGAAATCATCTCAATACGATAATGTAGAATGACATAAGAATACATTAGACGTATGAGGAATAAAGATATCAGTAGAGAGTTTTTGGATATTATCAGAAGAAATTTAGGATACGAAATTGGCAATGCTTGTATTTTTTTTCGTAAAAAAAAAATTTTTTTTACCAAAAAGAAATTTTTTATCTTTTCCCTTTCCCGCTCTTTGATTTACGTTAACAAGGTTGAAGGTTTTAAAGTAAAACTATAATTTTTTTTTTGTCAACAACATTGAGTGCAATAAAGGAAGTATTGTAATCGTCGCATCATACCAAATATAGTGCTTTCAACATAAATCTTCTCTGTGCTGCACAACAACTTTTTTTATTCTGTACAAAATTGTACAAACCAGTATTACTAACAGTTTTTACAGACATAGTTGGTCATCAACTATATTCTCATCAATTGACTTTAATTACTAGCTGTGTTGCGTATCAGAAATGCAGAAACTAGACTAATGACTAGTTTCTTGGCGTATTCAGAATAATTTATCTTAATAGCTTTCAGCACAATCGCGTACTTGTTGCGACAGTTGTTTTACTAAATTTTACATATTTATAGAAAATTAAAATAAATTCGCATAAAACAATTTTAATTTTCCTGGAATTCGTTCCCAAGGCTAATGGAAGATATCACTAAACTGCGATCTTGTGCCTTCATATCCGATTTATTTTTTGCTTAAAAATTATTTGATAAGGAAAACATATATGATTAGAATTTAAAAAAAAAAATAAATTTCGAAATAAAAATTAAAATGAGTTCAAGTTCACATTAAAAAAAAATTCTTCAAATTGCAAAGAAAAAAAAGTAAAATTTTAATTACTAAGCTATGAACACTTTCGAAAGTTCAATATTTTTTTCGAAATTGAGCACAAGTAATTATGATATTATTTAAAAACATTATTTCTTCACAGTTTCGCCATTACGTCTAAGATTAATAGCATTCTATTACTCTAACAAGTCTACTTTCACTCTAGTCAGTAGTGGGACAATGCTTAATGCGCTCACCGCAGTTTTACTCTTATAATCTACTTATAGATATTAAAAATCTTAAAGTAATAACCCTAAAGTATAGGCATTGTGTATAGCAATAACAATAGTGAAAATTAAACTATTGTGTAAAATCTCTTACTGTTATCCCTTACGCAGTCTTTGGAATAAAAAAATACTTAAATCAATTCAATTCATTACTGTTTAATGACATTTAATGATATGGAATTTTATTTAGAACATTGTTTTTGTATTGTTACCCTATGAACCACAAACACTTTATACTAGCCTATATAAACCACAAAATAGACTCTCATAAGGACACCATTGGAATAATTTTCCAAGTTTGTATTTTGGAATTTATTTTTTACGTTAAGTATTGTGTAGATGGTTTTTAAGGCGTAGTTAGATGATATTTAGGCTAATATATAGGGTAATTTTGTGAACTGCCTTTTATTTCTAAACAAAAATTTTACTCATTTTTGATTCTCCTCTCACTTTCAATTCTATGATCGCACATAATGTTGTACAGAATCACTCTGTACATTATAAAGTAAAACCAAAAGTAATAAGTACAAAAAAGATTTTAAATTTTGGCTCACACGCCACATACATACAATAAAATATTTTAAACAATTTGCCAAATGAAATGAACTAAAAATAAAAGTTACTTTATTTCTCTGCCACCATTTTTATAATTGTAAAGTAATTTTGAAATAGGTCCAATTTAATTTGCCATGATTTATTAAATATTTAATTCGAATTGATTTTTATAATTTGATTTTGATAATTTTCGATCAATATTCATCATTTCTTAGAAGACATTTTTATAATCAGACAGCAGGCAAGCATAGTTGAATTGCACGAGTTATAAAACCCTTAAATAAGAAAAAACAAATTTATGAATAACTTTCAACTTTATATTTTTCTTTTGACAATTTCTATACCCTTTTTGTTAGAGTATGTGCCGTTGTTCGAGATTTTGATTTTTTATTTTCATTTCTACATTATGCTTTTACCGAAGATAACCTCGAATTGAAAAGAAAATTTAATTTTTTACTACATCAAATCTAATTTTCGGCATAGACAGGATGACATAATAAAAAATTATTTATTTGTCTCTTTTCTTTTTTACTGGGTATTTTTTTTGTATCTTCGTTATTTTGGTTTTTCTTTTTATAGTGGTGTTCTTGTTATTCTTATAACCTTAACATAAAAAGACAAACAGACCTTCTGGGAAATTAAAGATTATTACATTTACAATTGCATATTAAATTTGTATACTTTTTTTATATTCCAATTTTTATTTATTCGTTGTATTAGTGAAAAAGTTAACGAAGGTCCTCTGTAAAATTTCAAAAAGTATTGGTATTTTTAGCATATACGTAGTCTTTGTTTCAAAAGATACTCTTTTCGGAATTCCTAATAGTATTGTTTTGTTAATCTTTAATTAAAATACTTAAATTGATTGACACTTAATGGTAAACTTCAAAGATATTTTGTATTAAGGAAGACGTGGCACAAGTTTTAGAATTGAAAATTATTTTAACAAAAATAATAAAAATAAAAAATGTCAAATTGACATGTAAATATAAATTGACATTTTTTGACTGATTTCAATGGAATTTTGATCAGGTATTCTGAACCAGAATGACATATCAAATATTTTAAGACTAAAACGTGGCAATGAATTTTTTATGAAACGATTATTTTAGTTTTTATTTTTGGAAAATTAAGGAATTAAAAAAATAAATAAAAAATTTATTTGTTATGTTCAATATAAGAATAATGACATTTTTCGACATTTCAAATTGACACCGGATGCATATCAAAAATTGACAGTTATTCGTAAGTTTTAATTGAAAATAATATTAAAATGTGTCAGTTTTTAGAATGTTAATGTCAAAATATTTGTCGTCTAATATACGATAAACAAGCTAAATAGTAGATAATACAAAAATAATGTACAATATTGTGTTTAAGAAGTGAGCTTGCATCGGATATGTATAAATGTGCAACTGGTGACTAATACATTGAATTTCGCTTAGAATCAGTTCGCGTAAAGCGACTTCAAACAAGAGATGACTATTTAACAAAAATCAAAATTTTTAATGTCATTCTTATTAAATTTATGGAGTATTTAATTTATTCCTGATGAATTTTATTGAAAATATGTAATTTATTCAAAAATTATTTCAAAAATTGGCCCAAAAAAGTATTTTTGTATGTAGCTCTTCTTATCTGATCAGAAGGAACGGCAAGAAGACCACATACTATTAAAATTTCCTATATACTAAGGATTTGATATTTATTTCTTTACAATGGTTATGTTCAGATGTTGATTTCACTTTATAATTCAGTCACAATTTCAAGAGAATGGTAAACTAGAGAAAACCAAGTAAACTATATAATTTCACAAAATCAAAATACTTAAAGTTGAAATTATATCTCTCCAAACTCTATGAATAATTTTCTGTGTCTATATGAATAATATTTTTCAAATGTAATCAGAAATAGTTTCAAATATCTTATAATTAAATTTTTCCATAGCACTTTTAAAATCATATAATTTTATTCACTTACCTATTAAAATTTCTTTAGCTTCACGTACTGGAGCTTCAAAATAATATTGTTTAATCCAAATAATTCCTAAAACTAACCATGCAATATCAAATAATATCACAACTGAAACAGAGAAAAAGAAGAATTTTTCAAATTTAGTGAAAATCTTTAGTAAAGTCTATATATTTCAAATACTAACCACTTTTAAGATAAATCCAATAATTCATCGTTGATCGCTTCCCTGTATCTAAAATACTACCCCTCATTGACGTTATACATATTGCTAATTCTACAGCTACTGATACTAAATGGTGTTGTTAAATAAATAGAAAAAGTGTTGTCGTTTATATTTTGAAAAATATTAATGTAAAAAGAATTTGGGAGTTTTTAATTGCATATAAGTCAAAAGAATTTGCAAAAGCCCTTTGTTTATTTCAAGCTTAATTTTACTAAGCGACATTGAATTTAATAAGCCTATATTGATCTTTTCAGGCCTTCGATAATAAAAGGGGTGCGAAAATAGGCAATTTTTTGTAATTAAAGTAAAAGATATTTACTTTTCAAGTCCAAATGTAGAAGGTTTAAACGGAAAGTCATGCTTAATTAAGTTCTTAAAAAAGCCGGAATTTAGACTCTTAATTTAAGCCTTATCTTAAGTTTCTGAGAACTTATCAACTCATATGTCTATGCGGAAGTTATTTTAAAAAGAGTTTTACTGTATTAAGAAACTTAAGGTAACAAGTGTAAATCCATTATTATCTAAGCCATTCATTACTGCTAAAGTTTGAACAGTTTCAAATGTGTCATTAATTTGACATGTTGTAAATTCAGACATTGTGAATACGTTGTTGACCCTTATTCATGATAGGTTGAACGAACGAGAATTTTTTGTCATAAAAAACGACTCGCGTATTTGTCTTTATGGATATGAGAAATAAATACAGAGTGTTCGAGGCTCAATCGTATTCCCGAAGCAGTGTGATAGAATGAATCCAGATGAACAAAGAACACCTAGTGACATTTTTCTTTTTGGGCCCTTGCTTTCGAGTTACCTAGCCTCAAAATACGCGAAAACCGTCTAACTTTTATATGCTTAGTTATAACTCGGGAAATATGACAGGTAAATCCAACTTTGTATATTGATTTTAAACCTAAGGAATTTCTCCTTCTTACGGTATTTTTCAGTTTCAGAGATATTGAAGCGCAAAGTCAAAATTAAAAAAAAAAAAATTTCATTTAACCGTCATTTATTCATAATTTCACGTTTTGTTTTTTTTTTTATAGGAAGAAGAACCCTATATTCTGACCTTTATTTTGGTATAACATAATCTTCAAAACTTCCTAAGTTGGATAATTTTCGTTAAATAACTTAATGAGAACATTGAGAATTTTCAATATATAGACAAGAACGCACATTCACAATATCCTCCCGTCCTAGTGAAGCTAAAATTGTGATTACAAACTGTAAAAGTAAATTTTTACCACTCTAATATAAAGCCATAAAAATTTACCATTAAATTCAATTAGATGTCATTATAATAACATTATATTTTCTCTCTATTATTTAAGGAGGAAATTTTTATGAGAAAATTTTCCGATTTTATTGATTTTCTCATTTAAGAACACGACCACATACTTGAAATTATTTTATTTTCAAATGTTAAAACTTTACTAAGTACTTTACTTTTTTCGAAAAATTCAAAAGATACCAAAAAAACTCAAAATATTCTCCTCATTACTCCCAACTCCTTCAAAGTTTCTTAAATTTCCTCATTGCATATAATTGCAAAATATTGCGGAAATGAAAACCAATCTAATGTAAAGAAAACTTTTAAATTTTCTTTTGTTTTTCTCTTTTTTCAAATTCTAATTTTGCATCTCAATATGGTTACCATTTCCTTTAAAGTTATTGAAGTTTATGAAAATATTGACGATGTGTACGTGCAATTGTTTGGTCAGAAAATAAGATAAAAAAAAACTTATTACTTTGTGTTTTCCTCTTAAGTTCCCAAGTTTTTATTAGAATAAGTTGAATGTGTACTTTAAGCTGAAGATAGCATGTGAGTATAAAAGTACAAAAACAAAATTTAAGAATTAAAAGGGTTCAGAAATTTTAAGGATTTTCTTATTTTTTTTTATTTATAAATTCTTAGGAAAACTTTTGTTGTTTAAACTTCTATAAGACCAAAGTAAATCCGAAAAATAAGTTTTCATATATAGACTAGGTCATTGATATACCAAAATTTTTTACATTTTACTGAACACTTTTACTTATTTTTGGTTTAAAATTTCAGAATTTCAATGATTTATCGAATTCTTTAATTAAGAAATTTTGTTTTTGTGCTTTTCACATGTGTGAGATGGTCACAAAATTGATCACGAAATCCTTTTTCCATTAAAATATTACAAAGTTTTTTTTTTTAAACAAATCCTTTGCGTATTATTTATGCAAATCTGTTAAGATTGTTTGAGGTTTTTTGAAGAATTTTAAGAAAAATCTTTTTAATCTTCTACTACTTTGGTATGTAAATGGTTAATTTATAAAATATTCAATTTAGGTGAATAAAAGATTAAAAAAAATAGATCGTGCTATTGGTTACTCAAAAATTCAATTAAATTTTAAGGAAATTACAATCAGTGAACTGTATGCAACTGCTCACAATATAAAACTAAAGTAAAAATTTTGCTCGTATGGGCAATTGCAATTCGGAGTTGGAAATATTGTTGCTTATCGCATAAGAAATTCAAAATAAATAATTCAAATTCAAATACTTCTAATAATTTAATATTTAGATTATTTAGAGCTTTATAGACAAGCGATTTATTTGAGTTTTCGAAATTTAAATCGCTTGTCTTAATTAATAAAAATTATTTCCTATTGGTCACATTTCTTCCCTTTATCACAACTCATTTTTACATTCGTTATGGTATGGCATTGCAATCAACAAATTCTTTTCTTAAATAAGATTTTCATTAAATTATTAAATGAGAATTTCGCTTATTAATTAAAGAAAATTTCATTAATTTTAAAATATTCAAAAGAAAAATTCAATCATACTTACAAATTAATATAACTAAATAACCTATTTTATAATACCACAGCAATTTTATACTTAAAATGGATCTGTCATAATCCAGTACACTTATTGAAATGCATAATATTAAAAGCCTGTAAATGAAACAAAAAAAAATTAAAATGGTAATTAATTTTAATGAATAAAATTTTAATTTATTAATTTAATTAAAATGATTTTTATTTAAAATTTTAAATTAAGAAAAAAATTTTAATTAAAAATTGAAAATAAATTTTACTAAAAAAAAAATAATTTTCCAATTCAAATTTTCCATTAAGTGGCAGTTAGTTTTTCACATATAAAATCAGGAAATTTATTATGTATATGCCAATGTATGTATGTAAAAAGGAAAAATATTTATTGCAATTAACTTAAAAATTACTGAGGTAGGAGCAAAAATATATGAAAAATGCAAGGGTACAATTAATTATTTGATATTTCTATATGGTAGAGTAATTAATTCAGGGAACTGAAGTCATAATCCAGAAATTTGGGAACTGAAGAGAAAGAAGTGACTATTATAAGTCTAGATGTTTTTGTGAATCTCCCATATCTTTGAAATTTTCTAGTAAGTTATGGCATTTTAGTTTTGTTCAACAGAAATTTATGTAGAAATGCAAAAATTTCAAAAATATCGAATTGAAGAGCTCTTACTCCTGGTTGCTAAGATATAATTTTAGTCCCGGAATTTAAATGCAGCACTAAATATAAATACTTTTTAAAAATTGAGTATAAATTAGCATGTGTGCATAGTTATCATAGGTATCCCAACCAAAGTCATTGTCATGCTATTTGAAATTTTCTCTAATATTTAATTTCGCACAATATTCACCAAACCATTAAATTATAATCCTGTAATTACGTTCTCCTTAAAAATTAATTGAGCATAATTTGTTCTTGGGCGGAATTAAACCATTGATCAAATAGCTCAAAATTGCAGCTTATTTTGATTTAAATTTCTTTTAATACTGCATGATAATTTAGGACTTAATTAATCAAATAGGTCTCATTCGAAAACTCACTTTTCTTCACTATTAAAACTTAATTTTTATCTACAAAATGGAATTGTAAATACCTGAAATTTTGTTCAATCAACTTAATTTGGACAACAACAATAATTAGACAACAAGAATCAACTCAAAAATGGAATTGCTCATCATTCTAAAGTCAATCCTTTTAAATTAGAAAAGATTTTGAAGATGCGATTAAAATGAGTCACAAAAGGACAGCAATGACTTTTCGGACAGCTGACACAGTTAAACTATTCTATAAGTTTAAAAGAACTTGCCCACCTTAAAAAAATAAAATATTTTTTAAAAAATTAATTCTTTTCTTTCCTTTCAAAGCTAAGAAAAATTTTTTTTTTTTTATAAAAAATGTCCTTTTCTTTATTTCCTTTACATTTTATTTTCTATTCATTAAATTACTCCTTTAAAATAATTTGCCCCTATCTTACCTATGGTGCATATATGTGGTCTATTTATGTGCAAGGTCAATTATCCTTCTTCGTTTTGTTCTGAAGAAAAGACACTCAATGGATCCGCTCTATATATTTTTTTAGTTATTTAATTTTTTTTCTCTTTCTTGTTTTTGTTTTTTTTATCCTTTATCTCACTACTTACTTCATTTATGTTCATTTTGTTCGTTTTTGTTATTTTGCTTTTTATTTAATCTTATGTTGTCTTAAACAGCTGTTCGAAAATGTTTTATGTCATCGTATAAGTTAGCAATTATTGCAGTGGCAGATAAACGTTGAATATATGAATGTGTTTAAGGGTTAGAAGATACTTGAAAATTTAAATTTCGTGTTACGTAAATTGCAAAAGAAAAAAAGGATGAAAATTAAATTTCTCGCCTAAATGTATGCAAAGTTTTAATTAAATTTAATATTATTATTTTTCAGTATCCATATGCAGACTTAAAAGGAAATGACTAAAGTGTTAATTTTGTGAAATTTTGTGTAAATCTCAATTACAAAACATGGTAGAATCCTAATACCAAAAACCGAAAACAAATGGCAGTTTAATACTTTCGGAATATCGTGGACATGCACGGTGCGCGCAGTATTTCTACGGCTCGGTTGTTCTTTCTATTTTCCGACATTTAACAACAATTTACTGAATCACAAATGCAACTGGAACTCTCATTTTGTTTAAAAGTTCATAATATTATATAATAAGTGAATGGGTTGAATTACGACTTGTATGAGCTCCTTGACCAACTTTATAATTCCATATGCGTAAACTCTTTTAGCCGAAAATTTTGGTAAAATCTTAAATTGTGAATCTTTCATAAATATTTATTGAAAAGAACGAATATTATTCAATAATCAAATTTATCTTGAATATCAAAAGCTATTGCCCCTGAAAATATGCAAAATTTTAGTATTTTAAAAATTATCTATTTTCGATTCAAATTTCTTTATATTTTCTGAATTTCAAAATATTTTTCTAAATTTTTCAGATAGGCTTGTCGAAAATATATGTATTTCAAACGCATTATTTCTTCAGTCTAGTATTCTTCAATGAACTAACCATTTCGCCACGTCTTCATTTGAGTAACGCAATGTAAAATTTACTTCTGTTCATAAATTTAAGGAAATTTAGGTTTTAAACCACTGAATTAATTTTTATATTCACTGTGGTAAATAAAAATAATTGTGTAATTTACTACTTATTTACAATTGCACATCACGAGTCATGAATTCTTTTTTAATATTATCTTTTGTTGTTGCAAGGATAACATTCCTGACTGAGTTTTATTCTTGTTATTTTTCTTTTATATTTATATTTTCCTTATTATATAGAATTCTCGCTGCAAGTATTATTAAAAATGTGGCGAATCTGGAACCTAACACTTTAAAATTTATCGTTTTCATGTTGCTTTTATGCATTTTCTAAAGCTTTAATGTTTATTCAGTTCTTTTATTTTTCTATCAGGATACCTTTTCCATTTTGTTTTTTTTTTGTATGTGCTGTTCTAATTTTTGTTCCTTTTTTTTTGTATTTCAGATCTTTTGTTTGTTATTTCAATTATGGTCTTTTGTTTTTTTTTGCTTCTCTTTGTTCATTATTTAATTTATTTTTCATCAAATTGCAACACATTAAGTCGTGGTTGCCTTATAATAGAAGAATTTGTGTTTATTTTTTTTTTTAAATGAAATTTATATTGGTGCAGAATCGGATTGGGGGGATGTTGTTGTTTAACGAATTCTTTATGTAGCACACGTATGGTTTTTTTAATATTTATTCAACGATTATATAACAGCAACTGCTTCATTTGTTGCTCAAAACTCATTGGAAATTACGAGTTAATTCCAACAACTTCTTTGAGTCTTCACTAGAAAATTTATTTATGAATTTTACAGTATTAATCAAATCAATCTAAATTTCAGAAGCTCAAAATTATCAGAAGTTCATCAAATTTAAACTCGGAAAATAAGTTGTGTAAAAAATTAAATGAAAATTAAAAAAAAAGGTTTGATTCTATTCAAATCGCTGAAGAAAAAAGTGGCCCATAATTCACATTCCCATTTTATCAAATAAAAGAGAACAAGTAGTATACTCTGCAATACAGGCGCGAATGAATGAAAAAAAAGTACAGAAAAGTCTCCTAACCTTAAAATTTAATAAAATTCGGCATTAAATTTTCAGTGCTTATATTTACTCATTAAAAGACTTATTGTTAAAAAAAAATTTTAATTTCATACACTAATTCTTTCTCTTATACGAATACGAACTTGTGTTCGAAGGGTATTATGAATTTGCTAATAAAATTAAAAACCGCCTAAAATATTAAGATGATTAGCGTCGAATTCCGAGTCAATTTAGCCATGTTTGTCCATTGGTCCCGAAGACAACTCAAAGACTAAATGAGTTAAATTTACCAAATTTTCAAAAAATTATTTAGCTAAGTGTTATAGTAAATGCCAGAACCCTATTCAAATAGGATTGGATACAACTTTAAAGGTTATTCGAGTATATCTCAGAAATTTTAGAAGCCTACAAATATTGAGAATCCGCAGAAGAAAATTATTAAGATTCTTATAAGCATGCCAAAAGTGGATGAACTCGTTGCGGTAGCTGCCATACGACTTTGAAAGTTATGTAATCTTATATTACAGAAATTATTGAAATTAAAGCGCTAAAACTTTTTGGAAACGAATTTGGTAAGATGGACACTATTTACGACAAGTCTTAAATTAAATAATGGGTCATATATACATACATATATATAAAATAGCACTGTAAACCAAAAAAATGGATATAATGGCGATAATCATACAAATATTAAAATCATTCACTCGTACAAATATATCACGGAGCTGATAGATTCAACTCTACCTATTCTCGTTTTTGTTGACTAATTTTGCCAACATCGTAACATCGTATTTACTCCGATCCTGTTGATCAATTTAAAACTTTTATAATTTTATTTTACCAATTTAAATTCCATTTTTTTTTTTTGTTTTCTTCTAGCTAGGTTGATTTATAACCATTTTTAAAGTTAAAAATTTTCTTTTCTTTTTCTCTTGAATTCAAAAGATTGGCACAAACAATTCATAAAAATCTTTTAAAAAATATAATTGCAAAAATTTAAGATAAAAAATAAAGAAATCGCAATTTTTTTTTTATTTTATTTATTTCAAAATCGAAAACGAAGGGGAAAAAGAGAAGGAATGGGGAAAAAAAACAAAGAACAAATAAAATCGTATAAAATTTCTTTAGGTGAGCTGTCGACTATACTGGCTACACTGAGCTGCAAGGCTACAAAGGATGGGGAGCAAAAAAAAATACTCTTTAAAAATTTTTAGTTCTTCACATTTTTAAATTTATTTTATCTTAGATAAATTTTTATAATGGTTCGTTTTGCTTGTATTTTATACAATTTTATTGTACAAGGATTCAAAAAAAAAAAAACAAAAATATAGAAGAAAACAAATGGAAGAATTTAACTTTTCTATTTTCTATGATATTTTTATAAAAATAAAGAAAACTAAAAGGAAAAATTTGTTAGTGCGAGAAACGTTTATATAAAAAGGTTACAAAAATTCTGAAATAAGAGAAAAAAAACACATAGCACTAAATCAAGATAT